TCCCTGGTCCCCTCAAAATTGTAATTCTATACATAAACTGTCTAGAGAGAAGATAAGAGATGTGCCCAAGGCCTATCTCTGATCCCAATACCAGGCAATATTAATTTTCCAACTGTGAACTAAAAATAAGAATGCTGTAGATGCTGTAATGGTCTTTGCATCTCCCTCGGTAATTTGGTTCACTCTATCTTCCCTACTCCACCCCAACAAGAAGTCATTCATAAGGCCATTTTCACTGTTTTCATTATTTTTTAAATTTCATCTTGACCTTCATTTCCTAGAGATCACTGTTGTTTAAAATGCAATATCTGCTTGCCTCTATCTATCTATCTATCTATCTATCTATCTATCTATCTATCTATCTAGCTCCTGTGTCTGACAATTGACAGATTTTACTGGTAACTCAATTTCCAACCCAACAATCTATATTAACTCACATGTAGAGATTTAATGCATATGGTGCACTGTCTGAAGAATATTTCTCTCTCTCTCTCTCTCTCTCTTTCTCCTCTTAAGAGGAAAACTTTGGGTAAATATACTTAAACTAGACAGAGATCATGCTTGGAAGGGTGGAAGGACAACCCAGGAGAAGAAGACCCTGGATGAGATGGATTGAAGCAGTAACTGGGGCAACAGGGGCAGGCATGTTGGAGAGAGTGAGATTGGCTCACGATAGGACAGTGGTCAGAGTTATTGTGCCTAGAATGTCACTATTAAATATATAATCGAAATGTGCTTTCATGGGCAGGTGAGGAATTGCTATCTGGGGTAGCTGTGCGGTACAGACATGCACAATGTGGTAGAGGAGACTGTGAACAACCCTGTGGACAGTAAGTTGTTACCTAGCCGTAAAATAAGCAGGTTAATTTGGCAGCAGTGCAATGAAGTTTCTGATTTCTCCATCACAGTCAGTAGCAAAGTTAGTTGTCTGTTCTTGTAAGCAATGTGTGCAAAGGCCTCAGTTTAATTCTTGTTCTAGTCCTAATTCTTTTTTAGGTTCTGGGCTTCTTTCTCTATGCCTTCCTTCAAATCTCCCTTCTTCTAGTGTGGTAGTCACCACTGTTTCTGTCCTTAATGACCTCACGCTTAAAGACCCCAGTGTGACTTTTCAAGTTATCTCCTCACCCAAACCAACCTCCACTCCGCATAAATATAAGATACATTTACTACCTGCAATAGGAAATCCATATTCTTCAGGCAGAAATCATGCCTTATGGTGCCTATCTAACTACTGGCCATTTGTCCTCCAATATTGTGGTCACAATGACATCTGATCAAATATCCACCACATTTGCCATGTTACACCATAATTAATCTGATTTTCCCCCTCTTTCTCTGTCTGACTAGAATGCGAGTTGGTACAGAGACAGTGTCATATTATTAATCTCAGTATCTACAGGGAGTGGTGCAGACCTCAGCGGGTGGTGCTTATTGAGGACACACTTACTGAATGAATTAACAAGTCTGCCTACATGGCAGTTAAGATAATCTATTTTGCGTTTTGAGAAAACAAATTTCTCTCTGAGAGTATGAGTTACATTTTCTCTCTAGTCCTAGAGAAAATGGTTACTATGTAATTATAAATCACTCTGAAACAAAAACAATAAGCAGAGCTAGCTGTGTGTCTTACCTGACCTTTAGAGTAAAATAAAAACCAACCTTTTTTTTTTTTTAACTTCTGCCTGCCTTACATTAACAATAGTATCTTAGGTGTCTTTTACACATTTCTTTGCTTTTAAGTACAATTTAGGTTCTTTAAAGTTCTTCTTCAGTGAAATCTCAGAGTAGCTATGTTTCGAATTCTGTAGGTGTCATCTCTAGGAGTGAGGTGTGAGCTTGAACTCTGTGGGTCGTGGATGAATGTCAACAGGATAGAAATAGAGAGAAAAATCCATCAAGGCAATTCTCCCCCTGGACCTACACGAATTCTGAATCACCTTCCAAATAATGGCTTGTGAGCTCTAGGAGCTGATCTTTGCCATCTACCAACTGTGTGAGCAATGGCAGAGCCAGCGGCTCCCACTGTTCTGGGGTATTCTCGGCAACGGTGCAAGGATGAAGGACATCAAGGTAAGTAAATGCTGTGGTGTTGCATCCTCCATTGTACAAATGAGCTAGAAAACCATAAAAAGGCTATTTTCTTTTCTCATCCAGCCAGTCAGAATTGTTGAGCGTAATAATGTTGGATTCAAACATCCCTTTAAAGCTAATGTCCAGGAAAGTATACATTGAATAACAGAAGTCTGGTGCCATTGGGGAAAAAAACCCACATCAAAACACTTGGCAACTGGCTAGCAAGTAGTGTCAGTAATGTGATCTTAACTTTGAGAAAGGAATCTTCTGAAAGTTAAGATGTCTATTAAAATAAACATGGTGGGCCTCTTCTGATGATGCCAAAGGTGGTATTTCTTTCCTCGCTTACAAAATAGAAATGGACTGCTATCTCGTTGCTTAATGAGGCTGTGCTGATGAATCTTACTTCACCAAAGAGAAGCAATTTAGAGGAACTGTTTACCCAGTCACCATGCCTCAGTTTCATTGCATGGCTTTATAAAGCATAAAAGTTAATAGCATGGTGGGGAAGGCCATTAATGCACTTTTATTATTGTACATAATTTTCTAAATTAAGCCCCAATTACTACATCCTTTAGAGAAAACACTAAGTACATAACAAGCAAGAAGTTTAAGTTGAACAAAGGGCTTAGAGGATTGGGGGGACAAAATTGACCTGGAGGTTAGAATGAAACTAAGAAAAGGGAGACATGGTTGATTATCTAGAGAAGACCCAAGAGAGAATAAAATAAATCTGGAGTTTAATCCTAGTTGCAAAACCAACTCAACTTCTTAACCTCACTTAAGACAATCACTTTTTTGGAGGGGAAGGAGGGATTGTATACCAATGAAAGAATTTTGATTTTTTTTTTTTTTTTTTTTACTTTTCAAGAGAAGAATGAACTGGAGGGGAGGGGAGGGCAGGGAGAAAAGTGCAACAATGAATGAATGGAAGTCCAAAATCTATGTAAACATTCATTAAAATAAAAAAAACCTAAAACAAACCAAAAAACGATCATTTCTTTTCCCTCTCTTTCGTATTAGATAAGAGGAAGTACTTCTTTTGGATAGGTAATTGCACTGCTAAACCCACGGCTGCACTGAGCCGGCACTTCGAATCCCCAGTAGCTCCTCTGGAGAAAGATGGAAGCCTTCTCCTAAGCAATTTATAGCCTCCAAAACCCAACGAAGAGCCATCTCTGAATTGGTTCCAACTTGACACAATGGTTTTTTCACATACAGTTCTTAAGTATTGTTAATGATTTTGCTCATAGTTACTTCATGGGAGTGAAAAGATACTAGAAGACAGTGAGCTAGATAGAACTGTATTGCCATTTATAAATGACATTTATTTCAATTGCATGTCTTCTAACATTTGATTTACAGAATGTCCCTCTGTAGTAGTACCTCCACATGAAGATTTTTCCTGATTACCACAATTGAAAGCTCTCTATTTTAAATATGAATGGAATCTTATTTTCACCATCTGTTATGGAGGAAATTAGATCTTGTGGGTGTAATATAATGACCTTCCATAATGTAACTTAGTATTACATAAGTGTGATCATACCAGTGAGGAGTGTGCCCTACACCTGATCATATGTGAATTATTTACAAAAGCACATGAGACACAATGACAAGGACATGTAGGGTAGACACAGTCCATGTAAGGAAGGCACCAAGGAATGCTGGAGATTCACCAGGCCAAGCTCTGATTTGGACTTTGAGCTTCCAGAAAAGTGAGAAAATAAATTTCTGTTCTTTAAAGTCACCCATTTGTGCTTTTGATGTTACAGCAGCACTAGGTCACTAGAACAGTATCACTCACTGTTTCTGTCTAAACCTCTCCACCAAGTGAGTGTTCACTTTACTGCCAGTTTCTCAATCATTATTTCTTTAATATACTAAAAAGTGAATGGATGAGCATCATGTTTATTTTAAGTATCTACACTTGCTACGCTAACCAGACTTATTAACTTCCTGAAATAAGGAAACCAGTATAAATTAGCAACCCAAGAATTATGTGTATCCACAGTACTTTCTATATCAATTCTTGACATATTTGCAGATTATACTGAACAATGTGCTGCTGATTTCTATGAAAGTATTATTTGCTTAATTTATTGACAAGAAATAGCAATGACAATGATAGAGAAATTGTTATATACTAAGTATTTTAATAGAAAAATATAGGAATGAAATATCTTTATTCTAGATAAATACATTATTTTTCCATAAGAAGTACTCTAAAAATTATTTACCAGTATTAGCTCCTGGTTGATTCCAGATTACAAGATTGTTTTCCAATCTACAGATAAGTAAATTCCTGGGAATCTCCTGAGATTCCTGGGAATGCCCTGAGAGTTGGAGTCCCAGGACCAAAATTCGAAGTTGTAAATTATCAAGTTGTAACTGATCTTGTTTCTTTATCTTTATCCTTCAGCTGCTTCACATGCCATAAAGTAGGACAAACAATAACCCCATTCAAAGGCTGGGTCCAATTTTCAACATTTTCATGTTGAAAACTATAGTCTTTGAATTTCCTTATTGCATTTTCTAGGTCTTATTTTATCTGGAATCACCTACTGAGTAATATAAATGTTTTCCCAGGACATTATACCCTAACACTTGGCTAAATGTGATGCTCGGGTTGAGCCTTTGGCCAGCATGACACTGATTATTGAGTGAGCTAGAGAATCTTGGAGGGAAGTTAAGGAGCAATGCCTTGTCATCTACCTCTAAAAGCAATGCTTCATTAAGCTAATTATGATTGAGCCCACACAACCACACAGTTGTTCCCACCTTGTACATCATGCATATTTTCATGCATCACATTTGTAAACAGAAAATAATGCTATACATCTAACTTTGTATGGCTTACAAGTTACCTACTAAGGAAAAAGATTTGATCTCACAAAATAACAGAACACACAATGGAAATGTCCTACCTGTTTTTAAATAGTGTGGTGTCCATTCCTTTCCTCCGAAGCAGATCTTGGGGTCCATATGGTGTATTTTTGCATTTAGAGTCTGTGTCACAGAGTAGAGTTTGCAGGAAGGGGAAGAAACCAGTACTAGGAAGATTTCGAGGTGCAAGATAACCTGAAATTTAAAAAAAAAACAATAGTCACATCACTGTGGAATATACTTTGGGGCTTGTTGTCAGGAATGTCCAGTTATTGGGTGAAAAAGACATTATGCTGGGAAAGAGAGAAGAAGGTTAGTGAAAGATAGGAAGGCTCTCAATGAGATGACTGACAGTGACTACAGCAACGGTTTTGACCATGTTGTTCCAAAGGTTATCATCAGTCTAGTCAACACGAAGGCATCTAACTATGGCAATCACGTCTTGAGAAAATAAAGAAATATAGTACCTTCTGGTGTTAGTGCTTCTTAAACTCTTGCCTATAGCTTATAGTTTATCACTGAATATAGCAGACTTTGGAAGGGTCTTTGGATTGTTCTTAATTTGCCAATTTGTTTTAAAAGATCTATTGACCCAGTAATCCCTCCTCCTGAAATCTAGTCTAAGGAAATATGGATAGCTATCATTTAAGACACAAATTTATATACCCATAGGTTAAAATACAACATAACAATAAAATTACTGTCACTATCTACTTGTTGGTATGGAAAATTATTTATAACATACTATTCACTTGAAGGAGTAAGTTAGACCATGTAACTACAGAATAATGCCAAATTTATTAAAATACATAAATATATATTTAAAAATATTGAAGGTAACACCTTCAAAATATTGTTGAAAGTCCCTCCATCGGTGGTATATTTCACATGCATATTCTTTATTTCTATTTAAATGTGTATTTCCTATTTTTCAAAAGTATATATGTCATCTTTAGTAATAAAAAAAAATTTATGCTGCAGCCCAATCTTCTTGCTACTAGAAAATATTTGTGGTCTTCAAAAAAATTTAAGGTAGTAGAGAAAACATTTTCCCTGCACACACAGCAATTTCTCATAGTTAAAACAAAAAATAAGTGATATGACCAAACATGTAGATTTTTCTCAACAATTAAAGACATAGAATATAAATCATAGTTGTTGCTATTGACTCATAACTGACCCGCCAAGGGATTTTCGGAGGTTGTTCATCACACAGAAAAAGATTTCTCATTTCCTCCCATGAAGCAGCTGGTGGATTAGAACCGTGTGCCTTTGAATTGACAGCACAGTTCCTTAAATCATAATAGTAAATGCGTTTGTCACTTTAGTTTTTGCTTTAGAAAATATTGTCTTCAGCTGTACATGAGTCAAAGCAATAGGCAAAGTGTGAAATGGAACTCTTCCCACAGTCAGGTTTGATATATAATAACTTGTTGCTGTTGTCTACCACAGAGTGGGAACCAACCCAGAGCTGACCCTCTGGTGCGTGTTCAGAGCCAGTTTAATTGCACTGGAGAATTTGTCTCCCATCTTTCTCCAGCGGGGCAGCTGGTGGTTTCAAACCATGTGCTTCCGGCTTTACAGTGCTGATTCTTACCACTAGGTCACCAGAGCTCCCTAATTTTATCCATTTTTGGAGAAATATAAAGTGAATAAGTGAATAACTTTTTTTAATTATTCATTTTAATGAAAGTTTACAGAGACTTAGGGTTTCCAGTCATTAAATTTTGTACTTTTCGCCCTGCCCACCCTCTCCCCCGCAAATTCTCCTTGATAAGTAAAAGAAAGACTCTTTCATTGCTATGCAATCCCTCCTCCCAAGTCCACTGCACTGTGAAGCCTTCATTCTGCACTCCTGACATGACAATAATATCCAATCATATGTTGTTGTTGTTGTTGTTATGTGCCACCGAGTCACCTGCGACTCATATCTCTTTTAAAAAGTCCTCTTCCTCATCTGTTTCAATGCAGTATACATAATTCCTTCCCTTCTTCTCTGTCTTCCTTCAACCCCAATGTCAGTCCTGTTTTACAATAGTGGCCCTATGCAATATTTGTTCTTTTGTGACTGAGATATTTCACTCAGCATAATGTCTTCCAGGGTCATCCACTTAGCATAATATTTCATGAGTTCCTTGTTTTGAAAAGGTAAATTCAAAATCTATAAGGCAATTATCAAAAGGAAAACGAAAAGAAGCAACACTTTCATTTTCACATAAAGTTGGAAACCAGTTAAGAAGGATATCACTAGAGATATATTTTCATGTCAAAAACAAAAGGTAGGAAAAATGAAATAGGAAGAGCAATACAGCAAAATGTGAAACAGTATTCTAGGAACAAACATAATAAATAGAAATCTAACCCAGAAAACTGAAATGCTGATCTATACAAAGGAAAATAGAAACAAAGGGACAAGAATGATAAAAACATTTGCCAGAAGGAAAGAAATGGAGAGCCTAGAACTGATGTGTTGGTGGGTTTGAAGATAAAGAATAGGAACACAGTAAAAAATGTAGCTGGCCTCTGGAAAGTAGAAAAAGCAAGGTAATGGATTCTCCCCTAGAACTTCTAGAAGAAATGAAGTCCTATGGATGCTTTTATTTTAGGTCACCAAGCCAAGTTTTGGACATGTGACTTTAAGAACTGTAAGATAACACATTTGTGTGGTTGTTAAGTCAATAAGTTTGTGTGAATTTGTTACAGTAGCACACATGAACTAATACAGATAATAGCAACAGCGTGAATAAAACTTGAAGAAAACAGAAAACCTTAAGGTCACAAAAAAACACACTGCTACTTCCTAGACAGACCGTCTATCTCACACCAGAAATACTGGTGATTCATATAATCTTAAACCTCAGTCAAAACTACAGTGTTATGTGCACAATCTTGCACTGTCACCAGTATTATTAAAAAACCCAAAAAACAAAATAATAAAAAATAAAACAACAACAACAACAACAAAAAACCAAACCCAAAAAACACGACAAATCAACTGCAGTGAATCACTTGTTATTCATTTTGATGTTTTTCATTGTAGTGTGAGTCCCTAAATGAGCCAGAGAGATTCAGTCAAATAGCTTGTTCGCTTTTCACATCATGCCTCTGAAACAAAACTCTGCCACAGTGAAATTCATACTGTATGACCTTTACTATTCTCTGGTGGAATTTCATCACTCAGGTAGTTCAGTCGGTTACACAGATCCTGACTCGAGAGAACTGTCTGCAAATGGGCTTGTTCCTCTCTGTGGCAAACATGTGAGGTGGCTCATTTGATTGCAAAGCAGACAGGAAGCCAATAGAAATGCTTTTCCAACGTGAGTGGAATGCTTTCGCTCTATGCTGCTCACCAGGGTGGTGGTGTAGCTGAGCCAGCCCAGAAAACAGCAGCAGCAATAAAGGACGATGAAGAAGATGTCAGGGGAAGAACAGCTGGAAGCACTGGCACTTTGCAGTCAATATTATCTTCCTGGCATTGATCACAATTTTCAAATAATTTGAGAGAAATTTAAAAGAATTATGATTAAACGCACAGCATTCCTGAATGCAACTAACCTACTGCAACCATTTTTTAAAAATAGATACTCTTACTGTAAAGATAATTTATCCAATAGTGTCCTTAAAAACAAGCTCCCATGGTACTCAAGTATGTACTCCCCACTGTGTACAGTATCATGATAAGTAAAATTTGATTGTTAACCATGAGGGTGTGCAAATAAGAAATTGGTTTAGGTATGTATCGATCTCAACCCAATACCAGGCAAAACTGAGACTGTATTGTTCCTTTACTATCATCTTTTAACAAAAGACAATTCATCAAAGGAAGAGGCCATGATATAAGAGAAGAACCATAATGATAAGTAACTACTGTACCTCAAGTACTCTGTTAGACGTGAAACGTTAACTTCACATCCTTCATAACTCTTTGGCATTCACAGCCTACTTCCGTAGGCATACCAACTTTGTTCAAAATACGACAATATTCCAGGCTGCTGCTAGGATTAAACAAGATTAAATTCTATCATAGCTTTCTTGTGAAAAATTATTGTATTTTTACCATTCTGCCCTTTTTTGTTATGCATGCAAAAATGTAACCAACCAATGTAATGGGAGAATCAAGGCATCCTACATTTTGTAGATGACTAATTTTAACATGACCTCATAGTATTCTGAAGGTATTTCTGACACTATATGTTCCCAAATTCTATAATGAAGGGGAAAAAAAGATGTTTCTTTATCTTTTACAAATCTTCCATAGACACATTTGGAGCATCCACAGCTAAGACTAAGAGTTATCCCTGTTCACAGAACAAAAAGTTAGCAGTAGAGTTAAAGGAAGATCATAACTGTGCAAACCATGTTGCCATTTGCAGACATAAAGTGACTTTCAGTGTCTTTTGATGCAGTGTTCAGATAGAATAAAGTGTATATCATTTATCCCTAAAGACTTCTCACCTGAGACATAATTTATGCCTATTTTCAAAAGCAAAACTATTAAAGATACTGTCAGTTTCATAGACCATTGCCACAAGGCAGGATCAAACTCAGAAGACTACCACATAGTCTTGAAGTGCAGCGGGTGGGTGGTTAAGGGTCAGGGGAAGAAAATTATTAGGTAGCGTACGGCTCAGGTCTCCAGGCAATGAAGCCCTCTGAGAAGTCACTCAGAGACTCAGAAGCCACCATATCATGGGTGATTCTCATAAATGGATACAGTCCATGTTACATACATCTTTCTGACAACATCATTGGCCTATTCCTAGGTTATTTTAAGAGTTTGACTGAAACCATATTATAAAACTTTTAGGGACATAGCAATAACTTTAAAGTTAAACTTAAAACTATAGCAATGCCATTCATTGTTCATTGCCTTAAGACTGAAATCAGCATGATAAAAAGATTCTGCTCTAAGAACTTATAAAATTCTCCATTTTTCAAACAAAGAGTGTTATATTTTAACCAAACCTATCCATATCTACATAAAAAAGATATGAAGTTTGTCCTTTTCCTTCAATCACAAAAGTTTGTATTCAGATCAGTGTGTCTGTGGTGTTCAACATGTAGGACCAACAGCAATAGCATCACGTGAGGACTTGTTAGAAATACAAGTTCTCAGATCTTACCTCAAACCTACTTAATCATGAATAGTGGTGGTGGGTTCAATAATAGATTAACTAGCCCACCAGATAAACATG